GCATTCTTCAAGTGAACGGCGTTAAAAGACGTCGGCATAATTGTATATCGTATATTTTTATTTTTCTTAAGTTTTCTTATTATTAGAAGACGTGTCACCCACGCATCGATATGCTGTTTTACAAAAAAAGACATATATTAGTGACTTACATAAATTTAAAAAAAAATTAATCAAATTGAAATATAAGAAAAATATAAGACTTACCCCCCATCGAAATAGCCATTGTCTTCGACCTCTAATAATACGCCCCACCAAGACCGATCAAGCAACAAATAGATATCATCGGTGAGCTTGCATATGTCAGTGAAACACACCTGGCTCCGCTCATGTAGATAAAAATCAAATGCGGTCTTAGCCCAAAGGGTGTTATCCAGAATTGTGTCCGGTAGTTGTTCCTTCTCCTCTTCAGATACCGGTATGGTACTGGCCTGTAACTCATACGAGAGCCAACTTGAATCCATCATGTCCGACACGTCAGAGGGTTTCTCAAGAAGCCTACATATGACGCCATGTGAATCGGGCTCTTGAATGGTGGGAGAGACCTCTTCAATGATGACAGTGGCCTCTTGAACGGTGGGAGGGGACTCTCGAGGAATGATAGGGGGCCTCTTCAACGATAGGAGTGGACTCTTGAGGGATGACAGGCGAGTCGGACTTCTTCTTGCGGTGTCTTCGCACTATTGGGGTGTACGGAGACTTAATAGCACGTGCACGCTGTCTGATGCGTGAACTCCCCCGACGTAAAGCATCCACTCTATCGGGCCGCTAAATAATTAAATACAAAAATCAGTAAATAAACAGACATGATATTTAAACAGTGAAAACAAAGACAAATATGTTTCAAACTTGCATTGTATTCACCCAAGTCATTATTCTATCATAGTTCACAAAATGCATCAGATAACAAAGAAAAATATGTTTCAAACTAATACCCTGAAGTTAGTATTTGTCTTTGTTTTGTCTATTGGTTGAAGTAATGCAATCCATTCAAGTTTCAATTTGCAGAAGAAGAAATAGTTTACTTTCGCAACACGAAACTTAAAATCGCAACGCGAAATGATAATCGCAACGAGAAACCAAAATCGCAACGCGAAATGAAAATCGCAACGACAGAATCGCAATGCGAAATGAAAATCGCAACGAAAGAATCGCAACGCGAAATGAAAATCGCAATGCGATTTTGGTTTCGCGTTGCGATTTTGTCGTTGCAATTTTGGTTTCGCGTTGCGATTCTTTTGTTGCGATTTTCATTTCGCGTTGCGATTTTGGTTTCGCGTTGCGATTTTAAGTTTCGTGTTGCGAAAGTAAACTATTTCTTCTGCAAATTGAAACTTGAATGGATTGCATTACTTCAACCAAAAGACAAAACAAAGACAAATACTATTTCACAGTGTTAAAGAATACACAGTTTAGCAGAATTGGCAGCAACCGAACAAATTTACTTTCAACCAAAAGACAAAACAAATACAAATACTATTTCACAGTGTTAAAGAATACACAGTTTAGCAGAATTGGCAGCAACCGAACATTTTTACTTTCAACCAAAAGACAAAACAAAGACAAATACTATTTCACAGTGTTAAAGAATACACAGTTTAGCAGAATTGGCAGCAACCGAATAAATTTACTAAGCAATCTAAGTAAAATGACTAATCTAAGTGAAATTACGAGTAAATTTATCATTAAGTTAAATATTGAAAATCTTAAACTTACCTCGTTGCGTAGAGTATGAACCTCATTCTGCAACGATACTATCATCTCACGTAGAGCGGCAACCTCACCACGTAAAGTTGACACATCCACACGCCATGCACCATCGTTATCGCGTAGAGTACCGATCTCCTCACGCAAGGCATTGACCTCATCACGTAACTCCCTTGACTCATCCCGTGGAGGTGGAGGTGGAGAACAGGGAGATAGGAGTCGTGACATCTTTGCCGGTCGCCTATCATGAGGTGATGGTGGAGAAGAGGCTCGATGATGTGACGGGATAGGTGATGGCTCTCGTTCTAGAGGTGTATAGTCGGGTCGATCGGGTGATGGCTCTAGGTGAGGTGATGGCTCTCGAATTGGAGGGAGTGGATGCTGCTCATCATCCGTGCCATCAAAAAAACTCTGACTAGCTTGCCACCAATCAGTGGCAAGCTCTTCCTCCGTGGGTGTCAGTCTTTGTAATGGAATGTTGGCCTCCTAAAATATAAAAACTCAAACAAAGTTAAACGTCTACTATTAATAACTTGTTTATATATTATATGAAAGTATTTGTGTTAACTTACATTATTTATTGTCGCATATGGTATTAAGTCTTCCCAATCCAACAGAGTTTTCCTCTTCCAGGAAATAGCCCTGGGAATATCATTTGACGTTTTTATTGCATTTGTACGCATGTTGGGGAAAGCCTCGAATATCCAAATCTACAAACAATATAATAACAAAATTAGTAATTGTTAAATAATTAATTATAATTTTAGAAACATTATATAGAAATTCTTACCTTAAAGGCCCAAACAAAGCCTGACAAAGTGTATTTCGACCCATCGCCACGCATACTTTTGCGGTCATCAAAGGCAGTAGACAACTTAGTCCAGGTAGCTTTCCATATATACGAACCCCACGGAAACAGATTCCATGCATTCAGGTCCTCTACCAATATTATTAGCTCCCGAGGAATAGGTTGTCTGGCCTCTCTGCCTAAAAAGCCGGCATACACAAGTAGTAGAAGGCATACTCGGACAACATCGACGTCATCCATCCGAGTGAAACCAGCTTTCTTATTAAACAATTTCTTCAGGTCGTCGACGTGTAGGTTCGGCTTCTCCATTGACTCATCCGGAAAAACCCGGGATAACCATGATGGGCGGGCGATATGACGAGTGTACCGGCCTACATCATCGTGTCCGAATCGTAGACCAGTGATTAAGCAGAACTCCTTCCGTCCAAAACAAGTATACGCTGGTGGAAAATGAAACCATATCTCTTCCTCACCACGTTGTATACTGTCGGGTAGATTTGATGTCATGGTCTGAAGCCACAAATGGGTCAAATTAACATCTCCACCCGGATGATGTACTCTCAGCCATGGCCCGAAGCAGGTTTCCTCAAACAATTGTCTTTGAGCAGGTGAAAGCTTCGAAGCAATTGTAGTGGCTAGGCTAACTTTATTCCTTAATGTCAATGAAGCCGAAAAAAATTTCTACAAAAACAATAAACATAACAAGTTAGATATACCAAAAACTACACTGTGAAGATATACCAAAAACAATAAACATAAAAAGTAGTAGTTTATTCTTGAAACTAAAATTTGCAACACTGTTTTGTCTTTTGGTTGAAATGAAAATCGCAACGAGAGAATGACTGTCGCAACGAGATAAATGAAAATCGCAACGAGAGAATCGCAACGCGAAATGAAAATCGCAACAAGAGAATCGCAACGCGAAATGAAAATCGCAATGCGATTTTGGTTTCGCGTTGCGATTCTCTCGTTGCGATTTTCATTTCGCGTTGCGATTCTCTCGTTGCGATTTTCATTTCTCTCGTTGCGACAGTCATTCTCTCGTTGCGATTTTCATTTATCTCGTTGCGACTCTTCTGCAAATTGAAACTTGAATGGATTGCATTACTTCAACCAAAAGACAGAACAAAGACAAAGACAAATACTAACTTGAAAATCGCAACGAGAGAATAGCAACGCGAAATGAAAATCGCAACGAGAGAATCGTAACGCGAAATGAAATCTAAGTGAAATGGTTAATCTATTATTGAAATGACCAGTAAACTTATCATCAGTTTCAATATGAAAAACTTACAATAATGCAAAAATTTCAAAATAAAAATAATTAAAAAAACTAACCCTCGGAGGTTGATTTTCCATTTCTGAATATTGTGAGGGATTTCTGACCGTGAATGGTTGTGAGGGATTTCGCCGGAGATGGGGACGGAAATCTTCGGAGATGGGGACGGATTTCGCCGTAGAGAGTGAGAGATGGAGATGGGACTGAGTTGTGATTTTAGGTTTTAGGTTATGAGTTGCGATTACGGGATTTTGTCTTAATATTCGTTTTTGTAATTTGAAAATAAAATACGCGTAGCGATTATAATGGCGCTTTAAATATCGCGTTGCGATTTACGGATACGCGTTGCGATTTTATGTATTATCGTTGCGATTTACGGATACGCGTTGCGATATACGGATACACATTGCGATTTACGGATACGCATTGCGATTTACGGATACACGTTGCGATTTACGGATACGCGTTGCGATTTATGTGTTCGCGTTGCGATTTTCATATTCGCGTTGCGATTCTGGAAAATCGCAATGCGAATTTGTACTATCGCATTGCGATTTTCAAGAATCGCGTTGCGATTTTGGAAACTGATTTGCGATTCTGGGGATCGCGTTGCGATTTTTATTTCGCGTTGCGATTTTGTTGGTCATTTTGGCAAATCCAAAAAAAGTTGGTTAAAATCGTATATTATAAGGCATTTTTGGTCACTGAGGCGATTTTCTCTTAATTTTTTTAGTTTAATCACTAACTTTCAAATTACTCCTAATTTAAGCACTCTAACTTTCAGATTTATTTTTTTATTTTTAATAATATATTAATAAAATAAATATAATGTTCACAAAAATTATTAATAAAATAAATTAGAGTTATTAAAATAAGAGCAATTTGAAAGTTGAGCAATAAAATTAGAATTTTTTTAAAACTTTAATAACAGAATAGGAATAGGAGTAAGAAGATAATTGAATGATGAATGATATAATTTACCCATAAAAAATACAGTACAATTATGTTTTTAATTGCAATGTACTAATATGAAACAAAAACAAAACATTAGATATGATTAAAAAAATTAAAATTGTAAATACTAAAATGAAAAAAACTGATAGTTTATGTACTAAACACATAATTTACCATTTTTGAAGGGGAAAAAAAACAAATTTGTCACATTACTATAATGTCATGTGGATGTTTTATAAAGAAAAATGAATTGAAATAAATTGTATAATCATTAAAAAAAAGTTATGTATCTTCAAGAATCTCTCTGTGGACATGCATGCAAGAGGCGCTGCAATACTTGTAATTGTACCTGTGGAAGGGAACTTTTCCGGCCAACGATGTATTGCAACAGGAGCAGATAATGTCGCCTGGACCCGATACTCCACTTTTCGGTTGTATAGTAGTAGTCGATCCTACGGTTGAGCTACTTCCTTGAGCATCGTGAGCGCGGGTTGCAGCAGCTGCTGCTTCGGCAATCCTCCTCTCCGCGGCGGCAGCCCTCTTTTCCCTCTCGATGGCCTGTGCTCTCTTTAATTCTTCCTGTTGTGTATGACGGCGTAAAAAGATGAATAGTCGAAACGATGCTTAATTTGAGGTGATTTGTAGAGAAAACTAACCGAAGAATGAGAAATATAATCAAGCAGAAGTATGAATAGCAAATTTTTACATATACATGTTCTGGTCCAATGTGGTTGAATATTTACCTCAGAGATTCGCTGTGCACCGACTGGTTGGGATTGTCGTCCCTTCGAAGCTGAAGCTACGGCGGCCTGGTTTTGTGAAACGGCTACGGTATTCTGAGATTGGGCAGCCTCAGCCTGAACATTGACGTGAGAAAAAAAGTCTCATTAAATGCGATAAAAAAACAAACTTCTTTCTTCCTGTATAGCATTGCATATCTTCCTAATAACATCAAGAAATTCAATTCACTAGAGCCTTACAACAAATTCCCCCAGATGGCACGTAGAATGCACCTCATTTGGACACACGAAACAAATTCAAAATCTTATCCGATCAACTAAATCGGCATTTCTGATGAACCCATGATTTATGTTAGTTTTACCACGTTGGATACACATTCAATCGTATATTCTTTACGCTTTTGGAAGGTAGACGTGGAAGTTGAAATTTCAGGGCCGCATGTTGATACGTATTTTCTTCGAATTCAGAATTGGTTAAAAGGAAAAAAATATTTACCTGAGCTTTCTTTTCCCTGGCTCGACGCAATTTCTTTAGTTCCTTTGCTCTTGCTTTTCTCTTGGAATCTTTCTCTGCCTAAAAATATATGAAGTCATCAGCTTGACTCAACAGGGAACATAAAAATTTTCACACATTAAGGACCTAAGTTAGCAAAGGACTGCAACAGCCAAAGATATTTAAATGATAGTGCGTCCCACAAAAGAGAAGAAAAGTAATTTTGAAAGAATAAATTCTAAGAAAGCTGGATAAAATAATTCCCAAAAAATCTTTCTTCGATGAAGTTCATGCGCGTGGGTGAATGGGAGAAAAGAGGGGCATACCTTGATAATACCAAGCAAGATATGACATGCATCAAACATTGGAATCGCATAAAATGTGCTTCTATCGACTTTGAAAATTTCATGATTGACAACTATGCAAATGCTTCATAAGAAACATAGTTATTTCGAAGATGTGTATATTTTCTATTGGGAAAAAGAATATCTCATGATCGATAGTTATGCAAAAACTCACATTTATTGGAAGAAAGAAAATATTGAACATACTCAGCCTGCTTAATCGATAACTACTTATATTATTTGAACTATAAATCAGAGGTTAAGCAAATCAGCTGTCGATAAGATTCTTGGTGAACAGTCTGATACACAACCAAGAAGGAAAATAAAAATTACCTGCTTGGCTGCTTGAGATTCCTCCATTTCTTTAGTTAAGGCACTAGGTACTTTAGCAGAACTCCAATCCCACTTCTCAAGGTATGCCGCCATGAACCGTCTAAATGTATTCCTAACTTCCTTCTCACTGGCTAGCATATATGGGGTTCGTCCTCTTTGGTCTTTAATACAGGGATCTAAACCCTGCTCCAGGAGTTCCATAACCTTTTGAGCATCTCCAGATTGTGCAGCTTCATGCAAAGGTGTTGAGGAACAAATAACTTCGCAATCACTCTCGCTTGATATAGTATCTGCTTTTACATTGTTTGAAGGAATTTTGGAAGCATCGTTACCACTCAAGTTGTCCTCTAATTCCTCTTCGCAGGAGTCTAGGTTGCCGTTATTATTGGTGCTACTACTTAATATATCTTCTTTGATGCCTGGTGGAATTTCCTTCTCCACTTCATACGAAACTTGTGTAAGTTGGCTGTATATTCGCTTGGCCTCCTTTAAGGTGGGCCTATGAATAGTTAATGGAATGTTCCGAACAGCACAGAACTGATTACTAAAACAAGGTTTATCCCCATTGAAGAACACATTACGATTGATTGAAGGAGCATGGATAAAAACACACGATGAAGCTTCAAAATAAGACTTCCAAGAAGCAAGCAACTCTTGAATTTCCTAAATGTTTATAATAACACGCGAATCAGCCAACATTTGGATCACAAACAAAAAAACATAGGGGTAACACAAATAAAACAATGTTACTGAATTGAAATCATGATGGAATTCAAAGCACTACTAGAACACTGCTAGGTGATCTTTTGCACGGTTTAACTGCAGATCAAGATGGTGGCAGAACGTTACGAACCTAAGAGGGGGGAAAATAAGTCAATACCTTCTTCAATGCAAGTTCATTATGCCGCCGGAGTGCAGCTCCAGCAGAATGCGCAGCCTTTCCGGTTGCATCTTTGGATGACTGTTTCTTACCAGCCTTGGCCCTCACAACATATCTACAAAACATCAAATGAGATTATGCCTATCGCCCAATACGACTATCATTCTAACATTAGCAGATATATATATATATATATATATGCAGACCTGTGGAATGTTTTGTGAGCCACCACTGTGTTACCATGAAACACACATCCAGCGAAGTGCCCACCACTCGAAAGCAGCACAATCTTGAAACTTGCTTTATCCTTAGGCTCTTGAATCAAAGTTCTCAATCTCTCAATCACCTCATTTTCTCTCAAGCACCCAGGATTATCGTTCCACGCTTCTTTATTATTCTCATATAGAACGCTTTCAGATTCGTTCAAAATTAAGGATTTCCAAATTGAAACTCTCTCTCCAGTTTGAAGAACAATAAACAACTTCTTCCTAATATTTTCAATCAACCCCTTGTGTGCATCATTGCGAGGATAAGCTCCCTTGTCAGCTTCATCCTCAGACCCTGAAATACTGGAAACCTCGAAGTCTTTGTAACAATCCATGGACTCATCAAAATCTTCCTCCTTTACAGCATCCTTACCGGCAATGCTTAATTTTATCTAAAATTAAATAAAACAGGGAAATTAATAAAAAAAAGCATGGCTTCTATTCATATGCAAATTTTTCAGAGAAGTGAAATAAAGCCAATCGAAAAGAAACAAATGAGAAAAATTACATTTAAACGATGAATGTCGGATTTGAAGTGGGAGCGCTGGTCCTGGAGGGAATCAAACTCAGCCTTGCAGGTGTTGCACGTCCATCTAGGCAAAGCGAAGCCGGTTTTGGTGCTCTTCTCTTCAATGTCTTCGGTAATATTAGGGTTTTCTAAAGAAGAATTCTCAGAGGTTGAGAGGGGCTGGAAGAGTGAAGTTAAAGAAGGAGAAAGTAAACGACACGAATCGAAGAAGTTCACGGGGAGGTCGCATACCGAACGGTGTCGATTTTCGGGATGAGTTGCGTTGGCGGCGGACGGAAGAGGTTCAATCATCATGGCTGTATTTTGGTTGATTCCTTTGGTTTGCTTTGGTTTAGCGGATCGATGATTTGTAATTGTAAACATTTGGTTAATAATTAAATGACTTAAATGCCCCCATGACCCCCTCAACTATACCATTTATATCGAATTAGCTCTTAAAGGGTGTTTGTCGAATTAGCTCTTAAAGGGTGTTTGGTTCAAGGATTGTGTGATTCTCATGGGATGAGAATCTCACGTTCCCATGTTTGGTTGGCCGGGAATTTCATTCCCGGTAATGTTTTATTACCAATAGTAGATTTTTGGGGTATATTACCGGGAATGTCATTACCTCTCTTCCCTTCGGTATTATAACATTACCGGCGTTTTGGACTACAATGCCCTTAAATTTTATTTTTTTTCAAAAATATCTTTCTTCTGTCATTGAATAATAAAAATTATACGAAGGTTAAATTATAAATTTATCCTTAAATTATTTTAGATTTACAAAAAAAAATCTATAATTAAAATTTTATATGAAGTTCAGGGATTAATTTTTTTTTTATTTTTAATTTTGTAAAAAAATTATATAAATATTATGAATTTAATTTTTTAAAGAAAATATATAAATATTTTACAATTTGTAATATTATATAAATATATAATAAGAACAATTTGGTCAAATATATATTTCAATAATCTTTTATTCCTTTAACCAAACACGGTAATCTTACATTCCTGCTAAACCAACCAAACACAAAATACAACATTCCTAGTAATCCTATTCTCTGGTAATCTTTTATTCCCACTGGTAATCTTACATTCCGTGAACTAAACGCACCTTTAAAGTATTTTTACATGTTATATTGTTATGTATCGATACATTTTTATAAAGTATCGATACATTTTTATAAAGTATCAACACTTTATTAGCGCTATAACTTCTCTTTTAAATTCTAAAAGTGTCAATACTTATAATAAAGTACCAACACTATCAACATATCCGGTAGCGCTTTATCTGTTTTGTCATTTATAGTCCGGTGTTGTCATTTTTTACCTTATATATTGTTATGGATCAATACATTTTTATAAAGTATCGACACTTTCAATATATCTGGTAGCGCTTTACATGTTTTTTCATTTATAGATTGGTTTTGTCATTTTTTACCTGTTATATTGTTATGGATCGATACATTTTTATAAAGTATCGACACTTTCAATATATCCGGTAGCGCTTTACCTGTTTTGTCATTTATAGATCGGTTTTGTCATTTTTTACCTGTTATATTGTTATGGATCAATATATTTTTATAAAGTATCGACACTTTCAATATATCCGATAGCGTTTGACCTGTTTTTTCATTTATAAACCGATTTTGTCATTTTTTACCTGTTATATTGTTATGAATCAATATATTTTTATAAAGTATCGACACAAACCGACAAGCAAAGTTTGCCGGTTGCCAAATTTTTTAATATTTCTTCATGATTTCTACCTATTACATTATTATTACTCGATATTTCCGATAGCGCTAAACCAAATTTATCAAATATCTTTTCATATATTTAGTAACACCGTATATTAACCGTATATTAATCTACTTTTCCTGGTACAATCCCCTCAATTATAAATCATTATCCCGTTTATCTTATTTCACCAACTCCAATAAGAAATTATGAATCAATCAAAACGCGCCACATCACTTTTTAATTTTCTTTAACTGATTAAATAAAAATAAATTTAAAAAATAAAACCTATAATATGTCAAAAATGCTCTCTTCCCCGTCCCCACCCCCAACCCTACCGTAAACAGACTTTCCTGCTGGCATTTCTTCCCTACAAAGATTTACCCATTTTCTTCAATCCCTGCCTACATCTTCCAATCCCTGAATTATTGCATTTCCCTTTGTCAACATTATGGATCTTGTTAGTTTTTGGCAAAAATTGGCCAAATCTCACATTGGAAATGAACAAAGGATGGAAAGATTCTTAGCCTATAAATAGAACATTTCCCTTTGGTTAAATGTATGTCAATCACCAAAATACAAGTGGTGTACTAGAAAGCTATTAGCTATACTAGTAGAGAATTTAAAGGGAAATTCTCTTGGGTGTACTTTAGCTTTTGGGCATGTGTGAGAGTTAAATATTTTGTAGTGTGGTTGTAATAATTTTCCACATAGTAAATATTTTTTTTCTTGGTTGTCTTTTGACAACGCTTGTGGTTTTTTTCCATTTTGGAGTTTTCCACGTTAAATTATTGTGTGTTCTCTCTTTTATTTTTCAAGTATTTTTGTTAATGTTGTGATCTAAAGGGATTGTTGGATTACAAGGGGTCTATTTTCCCAACAATTGGTATCGGAGTCAATGGTTTGGTAAAAGATAAATTTCAAGGCGGGGTAAGAATTTCTTTAAAATTCTTAGTATGCTCTGTGGTTGCGGCTTTGTCCGATCTTCTACATCAGAAAAAATTTTTTAGAAATTGTTGTGGTCCAACTGGAGGTCCTTTAAATACGTTATTGTGTTTATTGAGTGTGATATTATGTAAGTAAGTGCACCCAAGAAAGTTTTGTCACAAAGGCTATAATCGCCTAAGGAGGTTGGGACTTAAGCGGTACCATTTGTGTCCCCCCAATCTTTCCTGAAAACTTTCTTAGTGCATTTTGTAGACACAATTGTTCACTCATTATTCACGTGTGAGATCACTGGAGCATTGTTGAGCAAAAATGAGTTTCAGATTTGATATTGAGAAATTTGATGGGAGAATTAATTTTGGGTTGTGGCAAGTACAAGTCAAGGATATACTAATCCAGTCTGGATTGTATAAGGCCTTAAAGGGAAAGCCATCTTCTTTGTCCGAAGGAAAGGAACCAGATAAACCTAGTGACAGCAGTGGAGACAAGGGAAAATCCAAGATGAGTGAAGAAGAATGGGAGGAGTTAGACATGAGAGCAGCAAGTCAGATTCGTCTCTGTCTAGCAAAAAATGTTCTTGCTAATGTTGCTAGATGGTCATCAACAAAGGAGCTTTGGGAAAAGCTTGAGGAAATGTACCAAGCTAAAAGTCTTTCAAATAGGTTGTATTTGAAGGAGAAATTTCACAAATTGTAAATGGAAGAAGGTACAAAATTTTCTGACCACCTTAGTGCACTCAATGGGATTGTTTCTGAACTGGAATCTATTGGAGTGGAGATTGATGATGAAGATAAAGCATTGAGACTTATTTGGTCTCTTCCATCTTCCTATGAGCACATGCAAACCGTTTTAATGTACGGGAAAGAGAATGTGAATTTTTCAGAAGTGACAAGTAAGCTGATTTCGGAAGAAAGAAGGCTGAAAAATGGAGAGAACAAATCTTCTGAAAGTGGAGCATTGTCGGTTTGTGGAAATAGGAAGAAGTATAAAGGCTCCAAAAAGAAAATTATCTGCTGGGGATGTGGGCAACCTGGACATCTAAAGAAGGATTGCAAAAACGGTGGAGCTAATTCGACTAATGGCTCCAAAAGTGATGCTACTAATGTAGTCGTCTTTGAAAATGAAGACGATGAATTTGTTTTTTAAAGTAAGATATATATCCTCATGGCATGATAGCTACCAATTGAGTTGCCATGGAAAAGGATGTATGAAAAGGTAGCATGTCCACATTTACACATGGGCATTGGTTGACAGTTGATGCAAGGTGTGTGGTGGAATTGATGTCGATGGCTAATGAACTTCCTAGAAAGTCAATATTGGAAGTTGCACCATAACTTATTAGCAGTTTTTCGACATGAACTGGTTGAGGTAAAAATTCTTGGAGTTAGTGAATTCCAAGTGTGTATACTCTTATGGTGGAGTATGACAATTCTTGTTTTTAGAATTGTGACTATCATAGCTGATGGTGTTATTGAGGTAGCTGTTGTTTTTATGGTGAAGAATTGTATGGAATTTTTGCCAAGGTGGAGATTTGTTAGTTTTTGGCAAAAATTGGCCAAATCCCACATTGGAAATGAACAAAGGATGGAAAAATTCTTAGCCTATAAATAGAACATTTCCCTTTGGTTAAATGTATGTCAATCACCAAAATACAAGTGGTGTACTAGAAAGCTATTAGCTATACTAGTAGAGAATTTAAAGGGAAATTCCCTTGGGGTGTACTTTAGCTTTTGGGCATGTATGAGAGTTAAATATTTTGTAGTGTGGTTGTAATAATTTTCCACATAGTAAATATTTTTTTTCTTGGTTGTCTTTTGACAACGCTTGTGGTTTTTTTCCATTTGGGAGTTTTTCACGTTAAATTATTGTGTTTTTTCTCTTTTATTTTTCAAGTATTTTTGTTAATGTTGTGATCTAAAGGGATTGTTGGATTACAAGGGGTCTATTTTCCCAACAGATCTAGCCCGGAGGAGCTTCAGTTCTTGTCCATGCCAGATATCCTAAGAGGATCCTAAAAGATCCCCAAAAACCTTCTATCTAATAACATTAGCTCTCATCTTTCCCCTCCTTTGCCATTTTGGCTCACTCGCTTTTCACCCACCCAATCTCAAATCAACTCGAATCCCATCCGTTAGCAGATCCAGCTCAGGCCCCCTTCCAGTTCTGCTACCTTATTTTCCTCTTTGCCTTGTCTCTTTTATCAACAGCTGCAGTTGTATTCACGGGTGCGTCTCTCTACACATCGAAGCCGGTCTCTTTCTCTTCCACGATCGCGGCCATACCCAAGGTTTTTAAGCGCCTCTTTTTAACCTTCACATGGGTTTCGCTCTTGATGTCCGTTTACAATGCCCTGTTGATTGCTTTCTTGGTCTTGTTTGTCATTGCCGTTGATACCCGGAATACCTTGTTATCCTTGTTGTTGTTTATGAAGAAGAGCTATGAGTTGTTGAAAGGGAGGGCGAAGATGGTGTTCATTTTGGTTTTTGGATATTGGCAGATGATTTTTCGATTTAGGGTTTTGCAAAGAATGAAGCGAGAAGCATGTTTGCAAAGAGTTACGTGCAAAGGTGAAAATGGTGATAAAGATCGGTTGCCCATTTGAAGTGGATTATATAATTTGAGTAACTTACTGTGTTTAAGTACGT